CATTGTTGTTTGGCGGGCAGGGCTGGATTCCAACCCGCCACCTTAGGTGTATGTGGCTGGCACCTTAGCCACTTGAGCCACAGGCGCCGAGCCTGAGGCTGGTTTTGAAGTCCTGAGCTGACGTTATCCACTCAACTTGCCCTCCCACAGTGCTAGGATTACAGACATGACACTCCGTGAAAGCAAAGTACTATAAAAATGGCAGTTATTATGAGCTTTTGGACCTTGAGCAAGGCTCTTCACTTGTCTAGGTCTTAGTTTATTCATCTGTCAAATAGGACTGTCACTATCACCCAGAGAGGCAGCTGAGGTGTGCTCATTCATTTACACCAAAGACCTCTGAGTGGAGATAAGGATCGTAAAGGAGTAAGGTTGATGGGGAACAAGAGCATTAGAGGAGAGGAGAGAAGGGAATAAGTAGGTGAAAAGAGAAGGAGCGATAAGGAGAAAGGTGTAAGAAGATAAGAAAAGATGTAGAGATTGGGAGATGATAGGTTGTGGCCTCAGCTCAGAAACCTAATCCAGGCCAGGTGGAAAGGGACACCAGACCAACCTGTCCAGCACTCGGGTGTCACTTTGACAAGGGGTCTGGCCCCGGAGCTGGGGGCACTCTCTGTCTCCACCCCAACCTTGGCCTGAGAGGTGCGCTCCCCACCGGCTGGCCAGCTTCCGTCCCACCCGCTGCTGCCCACCACCCAGGACTGTAATTACTCCCCCCCCACTCCGCCACCCCGCCTCAGCCTCTGCAGCCTTTCTGGGAAACCCCGCCCCGGGGCCAAACCTAGTGGGCCGAGTCCAGCCTCGAGTGAGAAGGCCCAGTGGTCAGCCCTTGTCTCCGAAGCCCTCAGGCTCGCAGGACACAGACGTCCCAGCGCCCCGTTGGCGAGCTACAGGGAGTGTGTGCAGCGGCAGGTGACCCCGGCTCAGTCCTTCTGGCCTCCTCCTCAGCTGGAACACGCCGGTACCCAGCCACGCGGGACACCGACCCCAGCCCTCTCTGCCAAAGGGGCACCCTCATCAGGGTGGAGGGAGACCAGAGGAAGGTCCCAGGCTCCCAGCTGGGACCAAGATGAGATCTCAGCTGTTGTCTAGGGGTGAGCTCTTAGATGGGTCCAGAGTCAGCCCCCGATAAAAGGCCCAGCCCTCCACGAGCTACTGGTCAGGTGCTCCCCAGACCCCCTGCGGGGCGCTCTGGACCTCACCAGTGTCCGAGGCCTTGCCTGGGGTGTCGCAGGGCTATGGTCAGAGGCCTGCGGGCCGAGCTGGGATCCTCCAGGCCTGCTGCCGCCTTCGCCTTTCCGGCGCACGTCCGCCCTCGAGGAAGGGCCGCAGCCAGAGGAAGGAGTCGAGAACGGGAGGAAACTGAGGCCGGGAGCCCAGCGCCGAGTCGCCAGAGCCGGGCAGGAGCCAAGAGAATTTACGGATGACAAAAATGAGGCAGAGAGAAAGGGGTCCGCAGAGGGATGGCGCAGGAAAAGGGAGACTTGGGGGTGTGGAAGGAAAAATAAAAGAGAAACTGACAGATAAAGAAAATAAAAGCTGGGGAGGAGACGACTGAGGAACAGGTGGCGAGGTGGGAGGAAACAGGACAGGCAGGGGGACACGGGAAGCACCAGGAGGCGCTGAGGCCAGTGGAGGAGAAACCGAAGGAGGTGGAGGAAAAGAAGGAGACTGGGGGGTCATGGGGCCCCAGAAGTGGGAGGAAGAAGAGAGGAGGGTTGCCAGAGGACAGAGCCGAGAAGAGAGACGCGAGTGTAGTGCGGGGCTCTGTTTTGTGAGTCTCCCCCTGGCCGCCCAGGTGGGACAAGGCCTCAGTGTTGGGCCGTCCGCCGCAGCCGCCGCCCGCCCCTGACAGCGGGACAAGCGGCCTTTCTTTGGCAGCGCAGGGAGAAGGAGCCGCTTGTTCGCGCGGCCGGCGGGGAGAGGGGGCGGCCCCAGACGGCGCCCGCAGCTGCGTGAGTGTGTGCGTGCGTGCGCGGGGTCCGCTGTGCGCGAGCCGCGGTTCAATGCGTGGAGTGCACGGCGAGGTGTAGGTGTGAGGAAGGACTCTGCGTGTGTCCGGAGGGTGTGACAGAGGGGTGCGTGCGCGCGACGTGTGGCGGGAAGGTGCGTGGGTGCAGGGGTGCTGTGCGTGGGCGGGGTGGAAGCCTGACCCGGTGGGGAGCTTGTGTGCAATGATGTGTGTAGGGGTGAGCTCGCCGTCGGATGAGTCAGCCTCCCGGAGCTCCAGGACGGCTGAGCTAACGGGCTCAGAATGCAGCCCCGCCCCGGCGCCCTGGGTCCCCTGCCGGGCGGTGCGGTTGCCTGGCCAAGTCCCCTTTCGAGCCCGCCTCCGCGGAAGCGTCCGAGGGAGCCTCGGCAACCCCGCGGCCTGTGGCCCCACCCGGCCGTCGGCCCACACTTCCCCATCCCGGGGGAGCCCAGATGACTCGGCTCAGCCTCCGCTCAGGGGAACTCCGCTAGGGATTCAAATCCCGGCCGCGCGGGCGTGGCAAGAGCCTGCGACTCACTCTTCCAGGGTGCCCCAGTCGGCCTCCTGGACCCCTAAAGACGTGGAGGAGTGCCTGGCAGGTCCCCAACGTGCTTTCCATCTCCTTGACAGCCCCAGAGGTACCTCCCGGACACTTATAGTCTGAATCGGGCTCCGACTCCCCGTCTTGGCCATCAAGGCGGCCGACCTGGGGACACGAGCGGAGAGGCCCCAGGGCATTCCCCTTCCCTGTGGTCCTGCGGTTGGCATAGAGGGGTAGATGTGCGGCGCTGGAGGACGAGAACGCGCGCGCGTACGCGCCACCTGAGAACTCGCGAGTGTCCGCCCCGTCGCCTTGGTGCGGTAGGAAAGTCTTGATGAGGCAAGACTCAGTGTCCCTCCCAGGGGAGAGGTCGAGGGCCCCCTCTGGCGGTGGCGCTGGCAGCGGCTCGCGAGGGCAAAAGCAAGCTCCGAAAACAGCGGAGCCCAGGATTTGTGACTGGGCTCAAATCCTCTTCTGCCCCCGAAGCACTCACCTCCTCCCCCACGGGTTTCTCCTGAGCCCCCTAACCCAAAGCTGATCTGAGGGCTCTCGCCAGGCCCCGGGGACTTTCCTTTATCTTGTACCAGCCGCGCAGAGAATGGGACCCGCAGGCGTAGTGGGAGGGGGCGCTCTTACCTCGAGGGGAAAGGGGTACACCGGCCCCTTTGCCGAGCTCGGCCGTGGTGGCCTCAGGCTCAGGAGGACACCGTTGCTTTTCCCTGGGAGCCCGCTGAGTAGGAGGAGAGCGAGCCTGTCCCGCCTCCCTCCCGCTAGTCCCCGCCCCATCCCTGGTCCTGTCCGCCTGGCCAGCCGGAGAAGACGCCCTTGTGGGGCTGGAGCCCAAGGTCCCCCCACCCACCCTTTCCCACAGCAGCACCTCCCCCCGCCTGCACAGCGCCCGCTTTGTTCGTCTGTACAGCTGGCTTTCCACCACCACCACCACCCTCCCCTTCGGACTCTCCTAGACCACCCTCCACCCCTAGGCTTTAACGACCTTCGGAAAGGTTTTGACAGTTTCTCCTTCTCCCTCCCTCTTCCTTCCCTCTCCCGCTTTCTTTTTACCTTAGATGCCTAAATCCTCCTTTGGTTCCCAGTGAACCTACAAAGTGGTGTCAATATCTCCACACCATGTACTGGGGTACTCAGGTCTTCCCCCTGGCACCCAACCAGGAAGGGCTGGAAATGGGTTTGTGGACAGCCCTTCCACATCATGCTTCACAGACTTGCCTTAAGGATAGGTACAAGAAGACACGTTAAAGTGCCATGCAAACTCCAAACTACAGGAAAGCTGAACAGAATTGTCATCTCGCACCCATGGAGGGGCACGCCCACCACAGATCTGCCCGATTACAGATTGGGAGTTGGAGGCAGGCTATAGATACACAATTAAGAACACAGTTCTATAACCGGTCCAGACTTTGTAGGAGTGAGGGTTAATACAGAAGAAAAGGGGGCACAAAACACCTAAAAGCAGCCTAGAAACTGAGCCTAGTTGAGGTCATTCTCTATCTCAACCCCCACCCCGAAATCCAATGCCGACAGTGGATCCTCACCTTGCAAAGCCAGCAATCGCCTCAGGAGACTGGCTGGGGAGGCCCTAGGGAGTTGAACTCAGCTAGACTGGACCTCTTTAACCTGCACTCTTAAAAGGACCCTAGAAACTCTTCTTTACTGAAGAAAGGAGCAGAAAGTCCCCAAGTCTGGTGTAAATCTCAGTTGGGGTGGATAGCAAAAAATTTGTCCTTTTTGGGGTGGATGGATCCTGAGTCCATGGTCTTTAGTCTGTGCTCTCTGCCCGTCTGGGGAATAGCAGGAGGCTGAACTGCAGGAATCAGCTGGTCACTCATTGACAGGGCCAGCATTATTAGCAGGGGGCCCCCCACAAGGAAGGTTGGATCTGACCATAGCTGAGCAGTGGACAAGAAGGGGGGGGAGGGGCCCTTTGCCACTGCCTGCTATAACTGGTGAAGTAGAACAACCAGATTCCAAAATATGCTGTGGGTATGAGGAACCCCCAGGATTTGTGGGACAAGACTTCTTCTCTTCATACTGTTTAAGGCTCATAAGAGAAATTTAACTTGGTCAGCCTGCATGAGGCAGATCACGACAGTAATGTTCAGGCTATTCTGGTTTGTAAAATAAAATGATAAAGAAACGAAACAAAACCCAAACTGTTGTATCTCATAAGCTAATTTGCAGCATTCGAGGGGAAGGGCTCAGACTGGGATAGCTCAGAGGCTGTTCACATAACTCTTGCTTCACAACCTGCAGCTCCTCTTCACCATCTTGGTCCGGAGGAATTTCAGGGAATGATAGATCAAGCCTGCCACAGAGAAGGCTAAAGCTGAGGCAAGGGGATGAACCGGCACCCAGCTTCTCTCACTGTCTTCCCAATGCAGGGACCAGCTGACCCCAGGATAAACAGCGCAGTGTCCTCGCTCCTGCTGTCGGGCCTCTATGTTCCCACAGTTAGATCACTCAGGAGACTAAAGAGCTACCGCCCCTACCCTCCACCCCCACTCCAGTCCACATCTGGAGCCCATCAAAAAACTCAGTGCTCTCTCATAGTTACGCAAGAGGTCGAGCAGCTGGGAGCTCAGGAAAGGAGGAGGAAGAGTGGGGGAGAAAGTAGAAAACAGCCTTCCAGGCATGCTTCAGACTTTCCGAAGTGGAAGCAGGGGGAGAGGGCAAAAGCTGGGTGTGGAGGGAAGAGTGGATTTTTTGAAGGCCCCTCTTGCATTTGGCTATGAATGTCAGGAGTGCTTTTCTACACTCCTGCCTTTGCCTTGGCACCTTTCCCACTGTTTCTCCTCTCACATTGTACTCCCTCTAGCCCCAGAAAGAGATGATACTGCTCACACAGCAAGCAATCCCTACCCATGCACAGTCTCTCCCCGAGGCTATCCCTTTCTGGCCTCTTTGGATCCTGAACTCAGTCATGATTAGTGTAGGTGTGGTGGCAGCAGTGACACTGCACTAACTTGGGAAGAAGTTCAAAGCTCTCTTCTCAGCTTGTCTTGGAATCCACACTTCTACCCAAAGTTAACATGCATCCAAGCTGAGTGGGAAATTTGGGTAGGACAGAAGACCTTGTGTACTTTCAAGGGTCAAGACCTTCCTATGAGCTGAAAAGAACAAGCATTCATTTAGGCAAAAGAATGGGAAGCAAGACCTATTTCCATTTCTTTTCTTACCTTAAATTTGTAATGCCTCTCTTTCAAACAGCTCCTGTCCTGATATGATAACCAAACTGATGACACAAAGTGCAACTCTGGAAGCATTTCAGAATTGGATTAAACCCTAAGAAACAACTGAGCCCCTGCCCCAGGAACAGCAGGGTAACTTGTCTTTCTTTTTTTTGGTTGGGAATTCATTGAGGGTTTTTGTTGTTGTTGTTGTTGTTGTTGTTGTTTTGAGACAGAGTCTAACTATGTCGTCCTCAATAGAGTGCCATGGCGTCACAGCCCACAGCAACCTCAAACTCTTGGGCTCAAGCAATTCTCTTGCCTTAGCCTCCCAAGTAGCTGGGACTACAGGCACCCGCCACAACTCCCCGCTATTTTTTGTTGCAGTTGTCATTGTTGTTTAGCTGGTTCGGGCTGGGTTCAAACCTGCCAGCCTCAGTGTATGTGGCTGGAGCCATAACCACTGTGCTACAGGAGCCAAGCCAACTTGTCATTTTTGATGGGGGATAGAAGGTGCACCCCACACTTCTCCAAACTGCTTCATAGCTTGACTTCCTATGTGTGTGTCTGTGTGAGAGAGAGAAAAGGGCCTGGTTTAAAAAGGTAGTTAGGCTCAGGGCCTGTGGCGCAAGCAGCTAAGGCGCCAGCCACATACACCTGAGCTGGCAACTTCGAATCCAGCTGGGGGACGCCAAACGAAGGCTGCAACCAAAAAATAGCCGGGCGTTGTGGCGGGCACCTGTGGTCCCAGCTACTTGGGAAGCGGAAGCAGGAGAATGGCTTGAGCCCAGGAGTTGGAGGTTGCTGTGAGCTGTAATGCCACAGCACTCTACCCAGGGTGACAGCTTGAGGCTCTGTGTCAAAAAAAAAGAAAAAAAAGAAGGTAGTCTAGGGCGGTGCCTGTGGCTCAGTGAGTAGGGCCCCGGCCCCATATACGGAGGGTAGCAGGTTCAAACCCAACCCCAGCCGAACTGCGACCGAAAAATAGCTGGGCGTTATGGCTAGTGCCTGTAGTCCCAGCTACTGGGAAGGCTGAGGCAAGAGAATCGCTTAAGCCCAGGAGTTGGTGGTTGCTGTGAGCTGTGTGACACCATGGCACTCTACCAAGGGCAACAAAGTGAGACTCTGTCTCTACAAACAAAAAAAAAAGGTAGTCTAGGCTCAGCGCCCATTGCCCAGTGGTTAGGGCGCCAGCCACATGCACCAGGGCTGGTGGGTTTGAACCCGGCCTGGGCCTGCTAAAAAACGACGACAATGATCCCAAAAAAGCCGGGCATTGTGGCCGGCACCTGTACTCCCAGCTACTTGGGAGGCTGAGGCAAGAGAACTCTTAAGTCCAAGAGTTTAAAGTTTCTGTGTACTGTGATACCACAGTACTCTACCAAGGGCGATATAGTGAGACTCTGTCTCAAAATAAATAAATAAAATAAAATATATAAAAAGGTAGTCTAATTTTCCTAAAGGCCTACCTCCACATCAATCACTTACCAGGGAGAGATGTGAGACAGATAAAGAGATGCTATCTGCTCATAGCAATGAACACCAATCACGGTATTTGTGGATTTTCTAAATAGGAGTTTCAAAGTTCTAGAGCTGCAAATGTATTTACCAAAGGGAGCAAGGAGGAACGGGGGTCACAGGTGAATGTGTTTATATTAAGACAGATGTGCAAGGCTCGGTGCCCATAGAGCAGAGTTACAGTGCCGACCACATACACTGGGACTGGTGGGTTTGAACCCAGCCCAGGTCTGCTGAAACAACGACAAGTACAACAACAAAAAAATAGCCGGGTGTTGTGGTGGGCGCCTGTAGTCCCAGCTACTTGGGAGGCTGAGGCAAGAGAATTGCATAAGCCCGAGTTTGAGGTTACTATAAGCTGTGACGCCACCGTTACTCTATTGAGGGTGACATAGTGAGACTCTTGTGCCAAAAAAAAAAAGATGTGCATAGTAAAAGGGAATTGTTTTTACTTCTTTTTGAGGTTCTAGTCTCCAAGATAGCTCTATTCCTGCTTTCCAGACCCATGCTGAGTATCACAGTTGTAGTTAACACTTGCCTTGCTAAAGCAAAAAAGGCTTTACACAGACAGTCATGGCTTCTAGTTAGACTTTAATATTCTCAAGGTTGAGGACTTCTGTTTTCATCCTCCTTCCAATAAGCCCTGCCAGATGTGAACTTTAATAAAAAGATTATTCTAGGCCAGGTGCAGTGGCTTATGCCTATAATCCCTATACTCTGGAAGGATGAAGCGGGTGAATTGCCTAAACTCAGGAGTTGGGAGACCAGCCTGAGCAAGAGCCAGACCCTGTCTTTACTAAAAATAGAAAAACTAGCGGGACACCTGTGGTGCCAGTTACTCAGGAGGCTGAGGTAAGAGGATCACTTGAGCCCAGGAGTTGGAGGTTGCTGTGAGCTACAAAGTCACAGCACTATAGTGTGGGGCAACCGAGTGAAACTCTGTCTCAAAAAAATAAAAAACAAACAAACAAAAACCAAATAGGCTTGGCACCCATAGCACAGTGGTTATGGTACTGGCCACATACAC